CCCCCAGTTTTTTCTTCCCTCCACGAAGCTCTGACCCCCCGTCCCACTTGCAGCACCGGTCACCCCCCCCCCAGCCCCCAGCTGGTCCTTATGAGGGAGCGGGGGGGCAGGCTCCCCCCTCCCCCAGATCAAGGATTGGCTGGCTGAGACTCCAGCAGGAGGGGTCAAAAGAGAGAGATATTTCTGCTGACAGAGGGGGAACAGTAGGGCTGCAGCCTGAGATGTCACTCATGAGGGAAGCAAAGGTGGCCCCAGCCCCAGGGAAGGGGGGGCAGGGAGAGACTTCACTTTCAAACATCCGTTACAGACCCCTTCCCCAATTGCGTCGACTTCCCCAGTTGCACTGAGTTTCCTATTCCAAACTCATCCCCCAAGCCCTCTTCCACTCTCCTTTCGCTTTCCTCGCACCCCTCTTCCCATCTCCCCTGCCGTGAATCTGTTTCCATTTCCACAGTCTCCTTCTTCCTCACCTACTTTGCTGAGAGAGCAGCAGAGCTACTGTAAGCCTTCAGGGGACTGAAGAGGGAAAGAACACCTTTTGGGGGCCAGAGGAAGTGGCTCCAGAGAGACAAGGGGAGGGGAGAGGGTCAAGGGGACAGGGCAGAATATGGTAACCCTACCCTTGGGAGGGGTTGCTGCAGCCATCAACAAGGGATTTAGTGTCCAGGCCCTGGTGAGCAGAGCCAGGACTGCCTGTCTCTCCCCTAAACTGCCCCCTCCCCCCCATTGCTCTAAGCCTCTGGGAACAACATAGCCTTCAGGGCCCCCCCATCCCTGACAGGGAATCCCCCCCCCAGGAAAATGGGACACCCAAGCAGCCGGGTAACCCGAGGCTACAGAATGTGCTGATGGCAGAGGGGGAGGGATAACTGTTTCAGGATGGAGGCAGGGGCCACCCCAAGTCATGGAATGAGGGTCAGCTCACCCCACACTGTGCTGTCTTTAACCCAAGGGTTTTACATGGCAGACCCCAGAGGTATGTGTTCCTCATTCCACTCAGGCCCTGATGTGCCTGTCCTCAAGAGGGAATGAGCACCAGACCTGTGTTGTGTGCTCAGGAGCTGGGCATGCCCCACTGAAAGAGGCGTCCAGGAAAGGGGACCTGGGGGAGTGGATCAGCAGAGGCTCCAAACCAAAGGAATGGGGAGAGGGCAGATTCCTGAGGGCAGGTCCAGGGGAAATGAGGACAGAACAGAGATGGGGAGTATAGAGACAGGGCCACCAGGGGCAGAGGGAAGTCTGAGGAGCAGTGGGGAAAAGGGACAGCAGGGAGCTGGCTAGCAGCAGCCAGGTGGGCGGGGACCCTGGGGCTGGGTGCAAAGCCGTAAGTTGTTGCAGAGCCGCTGGCCTTGGTGTCAGCTTCCTCAGAGAAGCAGCTGCTCTGAGTTGCCCCTCCCCATCGTGCTCCAGGATGGGGGCGTCTTTGGGTTATCACCAGGGCAGCTGCTAGAGGAGCAGACAGGATTGTGGGGTGTGGGCAGGGGAGGAAGGAAGACAGAGGAGAGGTTTGATGACAGTAATGGTGAAAGGTCAGTGAGGGGAAGGAGCCTTGTGACCCTGGGCTCAAGTCCTTCCTCTCCCAGGCCTCAGTTTCCTGAAATGAACAAGGAGTATGGACTGCTGAAAGGGTTCTAAAAGCTGCTTCCCACTCTGGGGCTCAAGTTCCTAAGCAGAGGATGGCGGGGCAAAGGAAAGGGAAGCCCCCACTTTTGGGGAGGAGGATGGCCAGCAGGGGTGGGTGGAACTGAAGGATTTAGTCTCCCAGACTCCCTTCCTCTGCCTGGGCTTGGGGGAGGGGCAGCTTCCTGGGTGAGTTGAGGACAAGGTGCTCTTTCCCTCCCCCTTTCACAGTTCCACCAAACCCTCCCCTGAAGCAGAATCCTGCTGTGACCTGGGGTGGGAGAGATTTGGGGGAACTTAGACAATTGGTGTGAGTGCTGGGGGTCCCATCAACAGGTACTTCCACCTGGCCTAGCACCCACTGTCTCAGGCCAGAGTCAAGCTCAGCACCGCCAAGCCTTTTGGCACTGGCTGGCCTCTCCCCGCCAACACCTGGAGGAGTGACAGGGGCCACTGTCTTACAGCAGCAGGAATGCCCAAACATGGAGAAGGGGAAACAGGAGAGATGGGTAGCTTCAAGGGAGCTGAGAGCATGAGGCTGAGGAAAGGTGGCAGGCTTTACAGGACAGGCCTGCCAGTGGGGCCTTTAAGGTTATCTGTTTCTACCTCCCCTACTTCCCAGAGGGGAAAACTGAAGCCACCCATTAGGAGTTGCAAAGGGGTTACCCCAAGGGAGGCTGCAGGTGTGCCCTGGGATGGAGGAGGTGGAGCGAGGAGGCACTCTTGGGTCCATTCCCACTGAGGGTCTCCAAGCCCAGGGCTAGAAGGTGTTCTTCCTCCCACACTGAGGACTGAAGCTGAGCATAGGAGAGGCCTGGTTCTGAAGGATATGTAAACAGTCTGGCCAATCCCTGACCAGTTCCGAGCCTTAAGGCTTAGAGGGAAATAGTCTCTCAGGCTTCTCTGGCCAAGACATGCCAGTCTGGGGAGTGGGCGGGTGTCCTCGTACCCTTCCCCCACCCCATCTTTGGAAGGCAAGTCCCTGAAGCCTGGCAGGGTTTGGGGGAGGGGGAGCCTCAGAGCACCAGTTGTTGCTAGATTAGGAGGATCAGGCCCTGCTTACCCAGGGGCGCCACAGCCTTCGCTCACCATCTCACACTGAGAACACAGCACCCAGATCTGCAAAGCACCCCACCCCCTTTTCAAGACCAATTCTATCTCTAGTCTCCTGAGGCCAAGGTTTGGGGGAGCCCCAGGGATGAGACAAAACAGAGAGGGCCAGCAGGCTTCCCCCAGCTAGCCCCCAGCCTGGGTGGCCTGTGAGCCCAGCTGTCTCCTGTCCATCTCCCAACAGAACACAAGGCCCAGAATAGCAAGGTCATGAGCATGGGTAGGGCCTCTTGGAGGCAGAGGCTGAGGGGCATGAGAGTGTTGGCTCCACTCTGCTGGGAGGGAGAGTGAGAGGCAGAATGGTAAGAGGCAGAGGTGGATGGAGGAGACGGGAGAGAGCCAAGCACAAGAGGTGGGATTCTTCAGACCCTGTGCCCTTCCTGTTGTCACCCACCACCCCCAGAGCTGGGAAGCACAGGATGACAGGTCCACATTAAGGATAATGCAGTGCCTGTGTTTAACTGGGGGTGGTGGGGAGGGAGGGAAGGAGGTTGCATATGCAAATGCCCACAGGGCCAGGCACTTCAGGTGAGTGGGGTGAGCTGGCGGGGATGGAGCAGTGTGGAAGATGGAGCTTCTGATTTGCAAGAGAAGCCAATGATCTGAATTTTTATGTGAAACTCAAATGGAAACATTATCTAGGCCAAACAGATCCTGTCAGTAGCTCTGACTTAGGTGAAACCTCTCATTTTACAGATGAGGATACCAAGGCCCAGAGTGGCTGCACCTTTCCTTGGTCACACAGCAAAGGACTGGAAGCCAGTGCTCTGTTACCCATCCTCCAGCTTGGCTCTGAGAAGGGGGGCAGTCAGCCTGTCCTTGGGCCCCTCTGCAGCCAGACACTGTGACTACCACGTTAAACCTCTCCCAGCACAGCCACGGAGCTCCCACCCCACCCCTGCGATCTGTCTGCTTTCTCCGTAGAGCAGGAAGCTTTAACTCAAGAATTCAGAGCAGGAAGGGCCTTTGGAGATGATCAATCCTGCCATTCGCTGTCCTGTCGTATCAAGAGAACCTGCTGGAGACCCCAAGAAGCACTGCTTAGCTGTGCACGTACTGCTTGGCAAGCGGGACAGCCCACAGTGATGGCCCAAAAGCACAGGACGGGAGAGCGACAGGGACCCAACCTGGGCCAGCTCTGGCCTCTCAGCTCGAGCTCACACACTTGGTGAGCTGCCTTCCTGTGTGCCTGCCCAGTCCCCACTGCAAACACTTGCCATCACGATGGAACTGAGAGAAACCCTTGTATTTATTTATGCTTCTCCATTTTGTTTAAAACAACAACAACAACAACCTTAATATAACTGACAGCCCTTTCCCCTCACCCTTCCTTGGGCTGGGGGGTGGTTAATGGGGAAACGGCCCCCCAGGCGTGGGGCTGACCGTAAGAGCCCCTTAGGGAGGTAATGGAGCCCAAATCCCCTGCCCAGGGGAAGGGGCACCTGTAGTGTATGAACAGGGGAGTTAACAGAACTCTTGAACCTCTGCTTGTACCAGCATATGTGCCCTTGGCCGACAAGGGTCAGAAAGCATGTGGGGAAGGGATTCCTACCTCTCCTCTATGTCCCTACTCAGCCCAATCCCATCACCTGAGGGCTGGGGAGCAAAAAGAGTGGCAAAAGGGTGGGGTGTCTCACACAAAGGAGTACTGATTATTAATGGCTCTGGGATGGCCCCCTTCTTCTCCGTCGCCCCCCAGTGGTAACTGCTGGAGCTGCACCATTGGGGTCATCCCCATGTCCCCTCCAGATCCAGTGCCTCCCTGGGCCTCCATGCCTGGTGCTATGGCCTCTTCCAATTCAGCCATGGGGACCAGCTCAACCACGGGGACCAGCTCTTCCTGGACCCCTCCACTGCCCGCTTTCTCTTTCTCTTGCCTCTCTTTGGCTGCTGCGGCTGTTGCTGCCGCCACTTCTGGTGCCCCCGACGCCTCTTCTGCCCCAGGATGTGGGGGATCTGTCCATGAAGGGGGTTCAGGGGGCTGGGGTGGGTCATGGGAGGTGTTCGGTTCTGGATGGGAATGGTAAGAAGACAGACTGATTGTGGAGGGAGGCAAGCTCTCGCAGTGGACTCCCCTTCGCTCATCCCCCCAGGAGCCATGTGCTATCTTTCCCACATCCCATCTCCTGAGCAACCCCCCATCCATGGAAGATGGATCATGGGCGGCGGTGAGAGGAGGACCACACTTACACACAGTCACTCGCTCCGAAGGGCATGAGGGTGGAGGAGGCATCGGGGTAGCATCGATCTCCCTCGCACACCCCTGCATGGCTCCCAGCCTGCTCCCGGCCTGGGGGTGGGGGTGGGGCAACGTGGGGACAGATGGGATGTTGGGATGGAGGAAAGGGAGAGATCAGACAGGGACATCAGACATCAAGGGAGGGGGGAAGAGGATCAGACCGAGCATCCCCAAGAAGGGCAGGCCCAAGGCAAGGTTGTGATGAAGGGTGAAGACAAGGCTGGGGAGGATGGGTCCAGGAGACAGACAGCTGATGGAACAGAGGGGTCTGATGGAATGGGATGCACCAGCCCAATTCTCAGCTGCCTCCCGGCCCCAGCAAGGAGCCCTCTGCCTCCCTACGTCCTATCAGCGTGCCTTGTTCCCTTCCAAACCCCCACGCGCAGGCACCTTTCTCCCCTACTCTCCCCTACAAAGCCGATCTTCCTCACAGCCCCCCGCCCCATCTTTCTGGCACACACACCTCACTTCTTGGGTGCACGGGCACCTCCTCCCCTGCAGACCTGCTCTGCTCACCCTGCTGTCGCTGGGAGGATGGGACATAGCTGACAAGGACAACATCACTGGAGCCTCCAGACTCCAGAGGGATGGGGTGCACCCGGAAATGCTCAAGCATATCGAAAATGGACTGGAACCACAGGTGCTGAACCCGGCACTGCCCCTCCTCATTCAGTGACAAACGCAGGTGCTGAGGGCAGGACAAGAACAGTGAGGCGGGAGCTGGAGTCCTCACCGGTTACAAAACCCTCCTCCCCTGGACAGCACTGTCCCCCATTCACCCACTCTTTGCACAGAACAGAGCCTTTTCCTGTCACTCACCTTGGCCTTGCCCTGGAAGTTGAAGGTGAGGACATATTCACCCCGCCTCGTCTCACTCTGACGTACCAGGAAGACACCGTGGGAGCCAATGCCTCCTGTCAGCACTAACTGGGCAGCCTTGAGTCGAGAGAGCATCCCGTGGAACCACGGATATCCTGAGAGGGGCTGGTCCCCCTCACCTCCCTCTGACTCCCCCTGGAACAGGAATGACCCTTCAGGAAGGAGAGAGGGAGGGAAACCGGGGTGTCAGGGAAGCCTCCCCCATCCTGGGAGAAAAGCCTTGTTTTCCCCTCAAGGTGTCTCCCCTCTCACGAATCATCTTCCTCCCCCCCCGGGCCAGATTCCTGAGGATCCCATGATGGGAGCTTCAGGAAGACAGGCAAGTGGGCCTGGAGACACACACTCACACCTCTGGTACCTGTGGCTGTTTCTGGAGTGTCCAGGGAAGGGTAGGGGGCTGAGAGGGGATGAACTGTGCCTGCTGGGGGTCCCTCTTCAATGGGGATGCGGGGGGGTAACTCTGGGGGAAGCAGTTCCATTGAGTCAAAATGGGAGGCAGCAATGGAGGTGGAACTGGGGGAGATGGATGCCGAGGGACGGTCTGAGAGGCCCCCGTATGCCCCTGGAAAAAAACGGAAGGGCAAAGTTGAGAACTCAAGAAGCTCCTTTTCTGAAGGGCTGGAATCCTGGGCCCATTTCCCCACCAGCAGTCCTTCCTGTGTGTGATGACGGAGCCAGCTGGTCGACCTTCTGGACATCTCTGCAGGCAGAGACTCTCGATGGCTTTCACCAGAAGCTCCTTACATTTCTTGCACTGCTGGAGGACTGCAGAGTTGTTATTGCAAGGGGCCTAGAATTCAAACGTGCCTATGTCTTTTCTAAATCAACAGCTGAAAGACTGTGACAGAGATGGGGGTAGAATCCCTCACATGTTTTGATGTTAAAAAAGGAGTCCTTTTTTGGACTACAGGACAAAGCTGCCAACTCTAAGACATCAATGATCCTCAACATAAATCAACTTGATCTTCAACTTAACTTGTATTCATTGTATACCCTCCACGTTAGCCCAATTAACTCATCCAATTTTTCCAGATATCCTGGGCCCTTCCATCCCAGGTCTCTGCTCTCACCATCTGCCTCCTTCAAGCCATGATCTTTTCTGTCACCTCCTCTGCGCAGCAGTCCCTGTCTCTTCCACCTTCCCATTATCTTTCTCCTCTGAGCTCACAAGATGCTTCCCATTTGTGCTGCTCAGAGGACATTAAGCATAGACTCTCTGTTTTGGGGACCTGCTTTTTTCTTTTTCTTCTTGGCTGCTGGCCAGTAAGGGAATCCGAACCCTTGACCTTGGTGTTTTAAAACCACACTCCAACCAAGTGAGCCAACCAGCCAGCCGTGGTAGGGGACCTGCTTTTTATAAGGAGTAAAGTCTTATCAACCCAGCTAGACTGTGAGCCCATGCAGGGCAAGGAGCTCATCTCAGATATCTCTGAGTTCCCCCATCCTGCCCCAGGGCCTAGCACAGGGCCTGGGATGTACTAGGGCCAGTCAAGTGGCAGGCCTGAGTCTCCATGAATGTCGTCCACAGTCAGTGCTCAGAGGACAGGTACACGTGCAGTGCAGAGAGCACTGGCCTGAGAATCAGGTTGGTGTAGTTCCCATCTTTGTCAATGATTCTCAGGTGACCTCAGAAAAGTCATTTCCTCTCCCTGGTCGTAGCTGCCTGAGATCTGATGACTTGTTAGGTTCATTCTAACTCTAAGTTTCTATGAGTCATTTGTCCATTCTCTGAGTACAACCTGTGTGCTAGGCACTGTGGAGCTGAAACTCAGAGTGGAAGATCAGGAGAAGAGGGTGTAGTGGAGGCTGAATACACAAAGGCAAGCTGGGGCCAGCAGACAGATGTCTTCGTGTGTATATGTGTGTGGGTACGGGGGGGTGGGGGTGGTCAGGCCAAAAAGCACAGAATGAAAAGAAAATGTGGTGCCATCAACGTATGCACAGAGAGAAAACAAAGATTTCTACAAAGTGTCCCAGAAGCTTCAGGAAGGGAACCATTATCTCCAGCCAGAGTGGTGGCTTGCAGGAGACTTATGGAAAAAGTAACAAGGCTGGCTGTAGAAGGTTGGATAGGAGTTTGCTTGGGGCCTGTGTGGGGTGGTGGTGGTGATGGTTCTAAATGACAAACTGTGTGGGGCCGGCCCGTGGCTCACTCGGGAGAGTGTGGTGCTGGTAACACTAAGGCCACGGGTTTGGATCCCATATAGGGATGTGCGGTTCACTCACTGGCTGAGCGTGGTGCTGACAACACCAAGTCAAGGGTTAAGATCCCCTTACCGGTCATCTTTAAAAAAAATAAAAAATGACAAACTGTGGCTTGAGAGCGCTCAGCATGTTCAGGGACAAATGATACTTATCATTTGGTGGGAGTAAGGCAGCCAGGGACCAAGAATGGCGTGCACATGGTCTGGAGAGAGGCTGTGGGGCCTGTGAGCAGGGGGCTCTGTGTAGCAGGCTTGGAGACTCCCAGCTCCCTCAGGCTCCACCCTTACCCTGCGACAGGCGGTCGTTGCTCTCACTGGGGCCCAGCATCAGATCCTGGCTGGGCAGACTCTCTGAGTGATTCAGACAGGGCAGTTCCAGGATGTCTGTGTTCTCCCTTGCAAGGAACGAAGTCCCAGGGGCCAGAGGAAGAGTCATGGGGCGGGGACTGGTAACAGGGCAGGGTCTGCAGAGACAGGGAAAATGGTGCTGGGAGGAAAGTCACCAGGTGAGAGGCAGAGGCTGCTCTCCACCCCCATCATCAAGTCCCTTCAGTGACAGAAGTCAGGCTCCTCACCCTGGGCTCAGGCATTCCTGGATGTCAGACACCCAGGCCTTCACGTGTAGAGCATCAGCTGTCTCCAAGATATACTCCGAGGGGCCTTCTACCTACGGAGATAAGGGGAGGGTCTCAGCCAGGTCAGGGGTCAGGGAGGAGGCCTAGGTCACGTCCAGCTCCCAAGGCCTTAATCCACCCCCAATGAGAACAAGAACATCTCCCCTTCTCCCCCTCTTCCAGAAAAGCCACAGCCAGGGACACATTCTCAAGGCACTTGACACATGTGTACCTCCTGCCAATGTCACTTGCTTAAATGTGCTGAGAGCTTTCTCCCCAACATGCATTCCAAGAGAGTGGGGAGCTCAGAGCTCCTACCTTAACCACGAACGTGTTCTCTCTGTCAGGCATCTCCAGGGCCGTGGTTGTCCGGACATCCGTGATGGTACAGCAGGGAATGCTGAGTCGGGGCCGAGAAGCCTGGGTTGGGAGAGGGAATGAGATCTAGGTTTTTGGTGTGCAAAGATGATCTTTCCCTCTACATCCTAGGGGAGTTAGACAAAAGGTAATAACACTGCTTTCTCAGTCCTGCCCACAGCTACTAACGTACAGCCAGGAGCTAGCTTTAAAAACAAAACGTAAGTGAAGCTATGTGTGTGAGCAGTAAACCCCACGGCTTATCAGTAGGGCTGAGTTACCACTCTGGTCGTTCTATCACTTGCTCCCAGTCACCCACCCTCCCCTGGGCCTCACCTTGGGTGGTACAAAGAACTCCAGACGACTTCCTCCTCCTCCTTCTCCTTCGCTTCGAAGCAGTAAGCGACACTTCTGCCACTGAGGCTGCCCTCCTACCCCTGAGCTAGGCCCAGCTGCCCCACCTCCCCGGCCCACTCCAGCTGGGTCAGGGGCTGCCTCTTCAGCCCCCATGAAACTCAGCACCTCCTCCCTCTGGACCATCCCTGTGCCGTCCTTCAGGGTCCCCCCTCCCCGACTTAGTCTCAGCTTCTCAAAACGGTGAGTCCATCTTTCCCCAGAGGACATTCCATCACTAACCAGTCCCCTACCAATGGTCCCAGCCCCACCAGAGGAATTAGAGTTGCTGTTTCCACCTAAGACTGGTGGCCCTGATGAGGTCTCCAGGGGCCCAGCTGGGGAGGGAGGGTCAACGGTCCCCCGCCACTGCAGAATGCCACGGACCGAACCTCGGACAGAGCGACCCACTGAGCGGAGGGAGAAGCGTTTCTTTAGCTTCGGCTTTGAGGAGGTCGTAGAAGAAGAAGAGACTGAGGAAGGGAGGGGGCCGGCCAGGTCCTCAGATGATCGAGAAGGGCCCAACACAGCCAGGGGCCCACCCACCCTGCAGCTCTCAAGGGACAGGTCTTGTGGCGAGATGTCCACACCAGGACTCAGGGGAGCCAGGATGGGTGGTGAGAGGGAGCCAGAGGCCCTGGCCACCTCAGCCTCAAAGTGCTGCAGGAAGAGCTCGGCAAAACGGCGGGAGAAGGCAGCCTCGGCCCCAGGCCCCGCGTATTGGGGGTGGGAGGCCAGGTAGAGGCGAAAACGGCGGGCAAAATCCAGGGCGGCAGCCCGGGCGTGGGACTCGCAGAACTCCCGCCAACTTGGGGGAGGGGGTGGTAGCAGCGGGGCGGGGGAGGGGGAGGCCCCATCCTCCGGGGAAGGGGCACCATTCATGATGGTCCCCAGGAGGCAGAGAGGGGGAGCCTGTGGGGAGGGGCAGCAAAGAGGGACACGGCCAGAAGACGCGGGGTGTGCGGCAGCAGCTGCAAAAGGAAGAGAGAGGCACAGACACGGGGTCACTGCTGAGGTGGGACCAGGAGCAGAGTCCCACCCCCAGCCAGTGACTCCCTACTCTGGTTTAGACTCCTAGGAAAGCAATGGGGAAGAGAACCAACCTGCCTCCTTTCCCTCGCCCAGACCCTCACACCCCCCAAACCCCAGGCAACTGGCTCCTCAATGTCGAGCCTGTCCTGCTGCCTTTGCGACCACTTTCCCAGGAGCAACAGAGGGCTGTGGAGAACTTTCCTCCAAAAAGGAATCCTTTCCAAATCACCTCTCTTCTCTAAGACGGATCCTTCCCATGTGCCATTCTAAAGGCTTCCATTGGTTATCTTACCTTTCCCTGGGAGAGGTTTTAATAACCTCTCTAATAGATGAGGAAACCGAAGCTCAGAAAAGTTTCAGAACTCCAAGTCTACTGTTTTTCCCACTGCATGGTCCTTGTCCCCGGGAAGTGGCTGGACCAGCCTCAGCCATAGCTCCTTACTGCCCCTGCTCTCAGGGGGCCAGAGGGGAGCTGGGACTATAGAGCTTAGAGACCCTGCCTCATGCGTCCTCTGGTCCAGCTCGAAGGAGGGAGGTTACTCATTAAGGAGGGTAGATGGATGAACGATTGAAACAGCAATTGTCTCGAAAGCTGACCTGAGTCCAGCACCCAAGCACTGTGTGAAGGGTGCTTGGAATGGCTACAGCCCGCTTCTTTGGTGCCAGTTCAGTCTGGGGCCCAGAGGTAGCTGCACCAGAGGAGAGACTAGGGGTTGGGTCAGGGCAAGTCCGGGCTGGCCACAACGTAAATAAAACATAACAGGGGGCCTCAGAATTTTTCACCTCCCTCTTCCCTCCCTGGGAGTGTGCCCTAAAGACTGGTTGGCATAGTGGTTAAGGCCATGGGTTCTGGAGTAAGGGTTGGGCTGAAACCCTAGCTCAGCCACCTACTAGCTGCGTGATCTTGAAAAAATTAAACATCCTCGCCGAGCCTCAGTTTTCATATCTGTCAAACAGAGATAACGATCCCTACTTCCTAGAATTGTTGGGAGAATTAAATGGAATGGAACGTGTCAGTGCTTAGTACAAAGTAAGCACACAATAAATGACTACTATTATTACTAGCTTTATGGGGGGAAACAGTATCGTGGTTCCAGCTTTCTGAAAGAAAAATTAGAGAAAGGAAGAGCCTTCCCAAGGTCCGGGCGTGGAATTTACAACCCACGGCTCTTTTGTGAGTGCTCCTCCCCCATGCTATACTGGAAGGTGACGGCTCAGAACTGGGGCGAGGGCAGCTCAGGAAAATCTCCCCAAACCCTCAGCGACCTCATACTCCTGTTCAAACCCACAGCCAGCTGTACGTGGGCAGCTCCTCCCTTTCTTCCTTGGCCTAGGCCCTACACACTCAGATGGCCCCAACCATAGGGACAATTCCAAACCAACGAGAAGCAGCCAGGAGATGCGGGAGTCATGGAGCACAGGGGAACCGAGCCAAGAGGTGAAGACACAGCAGAGCCCAATCTCCAGCCAGAGGCCACCTCAGCTTACACAGGCCCACCCAACCCTCTGCACCACAGGCAGACCCAGCCCCCTCAGGCCCGCTGACCCTGCGGCTTCTGAGCTGGTGACTCAATTTCTCTTCCACCAAGCAGGACTCAGACACACTTCCCCGGTGCACCTGCCTCTTGGCTCAGTTCTGTTATTTCCCGAAGGGCAGGTGGTGGAGGTTGCAGGCTCCGTTCCTGGCTCGGACCCTCTGGGCCCGGTGGTCAATCCACTCCGACCCGACCCTACTCCCTGGACACCCCCCACCCGCCCATTCCCCGGGGCCGCAGCCTCCTGGGGACCAGCCCTGTCTGCTGCTCTCTCGGGGGCCGAGTGCCCCTCCTGGCCCGGCCCCCCACGCCCACCCCCACCCAAGGCTCCTCTCAGGCGCCGAGGCGGGGTCGCGGAGAGAGAAGAGGCACTTGAAGAGGGGGGTTCCGGTTCCGGTCCCACCTGCATCTCGGTCCCCGCGGTTAGCTCCGGCGGCGGAGGCAGCTCCCGCTCCCTGCACCCCCCCTCCTCCGCAACGAGCGCTCGGCACCGTTCTGCGCAAGCGCCGGGACCCCTTTTTCCCGTCGCCGAAGGAAGCGACCATAGAGAAGAGCGGCGAGAGGGAAAGGCACCTTCATACTCACTTCCGCCATCCTCCTGCTCAGCGCTGACCCTTCGAGGGCTGAGACTTCGTAAATCTCGCAGGGCTTCAGTGACTACTCCAGTTGCACATAAAAGGAACCTCAGAGGCAGCCCTGAGAAGGGGTTAGATCCCACCAGAGCGTCCTCCCGGAGGAAATTCGGGACAAAGGAGAGAAGTCAACCATAGAGAAGCCACCTTAGGGGATAGAGTCCCGAGGCCTTGCTGAAGGCTAGAGTAGCCGCCGAGTACCGGAAACCAGCGAGATGATAAGTCTTTTCGAAGGGCCCGCTGCAGCCTAGAGCGCCCAGGCCGGCTGCGGAGGGGGACGTGGATACCGCCGCCAAGGAGCGGGGCGAGGGAAGAAGCGGGTGACCTTGGGGAGGCCCCGCGAGGAGGCGGAGCCTGAACTTACGACCTTGGTTTTTCTGAGGAAAGGGGCAGGCCGTCGAGGAGGTTCTACCTCTGAGACGGGAAATAAAAATGGGGAGCAGAAATAATGAAGTCAGGTTTGGACGTGCTTGTGGGACTTTAGGAGGTAGTTGGACATACAGCTTGGAGCTCAGAGACATCTTCATCACTTAGAGAAATTAAGACCCATTAAGGTAGAAGGTAGTAGAAATTAAGAGCACAATGAGAGCCTCCATCAATCCAGTCTGTCACTGACCCAGCTCCAGCTGGCCTAAACAGTAAGGAAACAGTTCATATAATTAAAAGTCTAGAGTGGATCCAGCTTGTTCAGGAACAGATGAATACAGGGACCAAAAGATATCGGGAACCTGTGGTTCATTTCTGGTTCAGCTTTCCTCACGCGTTTGGCTTCACTCCCAGGCAGGCTTTCCTCTCTAGTGGCAAGATGGCTTTCCATAGCTCCAAACTTAAGTCCTAAAAGCTTAGAAACTCTTGTAGAAGGAGGGTCTCTCTTTTCTGAGATTCCCAATAAAATTTCCAAAACTGACTAGCTGATTGGATCAAGTGCCCATTCTGGAACACATAGGCAAGTAACCCAAGAAATGGAGATTTCTCCATTAGAAATAAGAATGTGTTCAGGGGCTGGCTGGTTAGCTCAGTTAGTTAAAACACAGTATTATAATACCAAGGCAAAAAATAAATAAATAGGGGCCGGCCCGGTGGTGCACTGCTATAGTGCGCCGCTTGGGAAGCGCGGCGGCGCTCCCGCCGAGGGTTCGGATCCCACATGCAGACCGGTTCCCGCTCACTGGCTGAGCGAGGCACGGGAGCAACACCGGGGGTTGCGATCCCGTTGCTGGTCCCAGTCTGGTACGGGGGCGACACTGAGGGTTGCGATCCGTTGCCGGACACGGAAAAAGACCAAAAAAATAAATAAATAAATAAATAAATAAAAGAATGTGTTCAAGGCTGAGGCTGCCAGATGGACTTGGAAAAACTTGTTGTGGAAGGGCAAGTTCTGGCGTAGGCAGTGTTAGTCCCCAGTTTTAACCAAACTAACATCAGCTTGCAGAGGTCTTTATTAAGGTCTTCATCATCAGTGTTGTCCATCCCTCTTTTCAGTTAGAGGAAGATGTCAGTGAAAAGGACCCTATTGCTGTGATCCCACCCCTTACCCTTTCTCTGTAGTGGCCCATCATTGTCTGGGAAAGGGAGACACAGTTGAGGAATACGGAAAGGCAAGAGGCTGGTAACTATGAAGTAGGTTTGGAAGTGTGTCTAAGCTGTCCAATAAAACTTTCTGTGATGACTGACATGTTCTTCAGCACTACCCAATATTGTAGCCACTAGCCACATGTGGCTATTAAGCTCTTGAAATGTAACTAGTGTGACTAAGGAACTGAAATTTTAATTGTAATTAATTAAAGTTAAAACAGCCACATGTGACTACTGGCTATTGTATTAGTACAGTCCTTGGACTACTAGATGGAGCTGTCCAGCAGGGATTCTGAGCTGCACAAAGTAGTTTGGTGGTGATCAGACATGAATAGTGTTTGAAGCCATGGACATGAATGAGATTGGCCAGGTAATATATGTAAAGAGAAGAGGGCCTAGGGTCTAGTTCTGGAGAACAATCAACATTCAACAAGTAGATAAAGAAAGGAAAGTAGAAAGTGCTGTGATGACGTCTTGGGTCAGGTTTCCCAGAAACACCTTGAGATGAGAATTTGCGGGTAAGTAATGTAATAAGAAAGCGCTACTAGGAGAAACCACTGAGGGAGTAGGAGAAGTAGGAGAGAGGAGAGAAAGCCAAGCAGGTGCATGATGTCAGGCAGAGAGTAGTTCAGTTTGATCCAACGGGGAGCCCTGGATGTAAGTTATGCCAGAAATTTGTGCACGGGCCAGCCCCACCGGTCATCTTTTTTTTTTAAAAAAAAAAAAAGAAAGAAATTTGTGCAGACACATGGGAGCTAAGCCTTTCATACACTACCTCCCTCAGCCATTGACCAAGGGCTGCCCCTGGGAGATGTCAATTCTCAGGCACTTCCATCAAGGCAAAAGTTCTAACCATTGGAAGAGAAACCACATAACAAAGGCCAGTGAATGTGGGAGTATAGGATGTCTTGTGTTTCAGGGGAAATGGGCTAAAACACAAATGATAAAAAGTGATCCATGGGGCTGGCCCGTGGCTCACTCGGGAGAGTACGGTGCTGATAGCACCAAGGCCACGGGTTCGGATCCCATGTAGGGATGGTTGGTTGGCTCACTGGCTGAGCGTGGTGCTGACAACACCAAGTCAAGGGTTGAGATCCCCTTACCAGTCATCTTTTTTTTTAAAAAAAGTGATCCATGGGGCTGGCCCGTGGCTCACTCGGGAGAGTACGGTGCTGATAGCACCAAGGCCACGGGTTCGGATCCCATGTAGGGATGGTTGGTTGGCTCACTGGCTGAGCGTGGTGCTGACAACACCAAGTCAAGGGTTGAGATCCCCTTACCAGTCATCTTTTTTTTTAAAAAAAGTGATCCATGGCAGGGGTGGGGGGAATCAGGGCTGTGCACTGCCATTGTCTCCTCTAGAAGACATCGATAACTAAGACATTGCTGAGTGACCTTGGCGAGTAATTTTATTTAGGGAAGTGGTGGTAGCAGATGCCAAATGGTAGTGGTTTGAGGATGAGTGAACGGAGGTAAAGAAGAGGGAGGAATGTGGAGAGCTGTTCTACAGAGTTTGGCTGAAAAGGAGAGATATGGAGGTTTGTAGTTTGAAAAGGTACAAAGGTTTGCTTGTTTGTTTATATCCTGAGCGACACCTGATTATGCTGAAAGTCTAAGAGGAAAGCAGCCAGTAGAGAGGATGGTCATTGAAGGAGCGAGTTCTGGGAAAGGAGGGAAGAGATGACATCAAGGGCCCAGGTTAAGCCAAGGTATTTATACAAAGGGGAAAAACGGTCTTTCTCAGGAACAGGGGATGTAACAAGTAATAGAAACTCCAATTTAAGCTAGTTTAAGCATAAAAACTATTTTCATGGCTCAAAGAATTGAAAAATCAGAGAGAGAATGACTTCAGGCACGGCTGGAGCCAGAGGCTCAATGTCACTTTGTTTTGCTTTGTTTTGTTTTAATGATGACCGGTAAGGGGATCTTAACCCTTGACTTGGTGTGGTCAGCACCACACTCACCCAGTGAGCTAACCAGCCATCCCTATATGGGATCCGAATCCGTGGCCTTGGTATTATCAGCACCACACTCTCCCGAGTGAGCCACGGGCCGGCCCTCAATGTCACTTTGAACTTGGATGCAGTCTCTTTTAGCTCTGCTTTCCTCTGGACTGTCTTCAGGCAGGTTGTCCTCTCACAGGTAGCAAGATGGCTACCAGCAGCTCCAAGCCTCATTCTAACAGTTAGATGACCCTCACAGAAAAAGATTGTAGCTTTCCCAGTACTTCCAGCAAATGAAATAGGGTTAAGTCTCATCAGCTCAGCTTGAGTCACCCAATGATCATTTGTTATATAATAATTTGTTTGATCTTTGTCTTGGGTTCATGGCATAGACCTTCTAAACACCTGGAATTTCCTGAGTAATAGAAATGTCTGGTATTCATGAGTCCCTTAGATCACACCTGGCTTCTTGCTAATGAGGTGACTTGTGGCAGGCTTCCAGATAGCTTCTGGATGGGGGCTGGTCACAAGGAAGATCAACCTTGTGATTAGAGGGTTAGGATTTTGAGCCAGCCCGACCTCCAGGGAGGATAAGAGGCCTGGAGACTGAGATTAATCACATGGCCAATGATTTAATCAATCATGCCTAAATAATGAAGCCCTAGTAGAAACTCTGGTCACTGAAGCTCAATAGGTGTCCTGGTCAGGGCCTGCCCATAGCTCACTTGGGAGAGTGTGGTGCTGATAACACCAAGGCCATGGGTTCGGATCCCTATGTAGGGATGGCCGGTTAGCTCACTGGGTGAGCATCGTGCTGACAACACTAAGTCAAGGGTTAAGATCCCCTTA